GAGCCTCGTTTCGATGTTAGAGCATGCTCAGTATTCCCCATCAAGTGTGATTTCGAGGTGACTCCATATCCAGAATTGTTCAGGTCGGCGAACTTAATAATCCTGCCAAGTTTCATACTTTTATCATTAATTTGAACAATTCTGACAATAACAGCCGTACTATAAGGTATATTTATTATAAATCTTATGTCAATACACTTCTAAAGATATTCCTTAATCTTCTTCACAGGCTAACTCCAGCAGAAAAATACTTTTTGTCACACTTTTGTCACCTTCCAATTCCATCTTTCCTAACCCCCCTCCCCCTTGGCAGCTGTTTTGACTTAAGACAGGAATCCCACAGGATGATTAGATTTCCTAATGCCCATTCAGAAAAACATCACTGCAYTGCTATAAATGGAGGATGCAAATGGRTACACCATACAGGACCTCATTAGATACTCATATAAGACCAGGATGCTTTACAATSAAACCTACCTCCACAATATCATCATCAAATAGCAGCCAGAAACCATAGCTTTTGACAATTGTTATATAATGCCCTCTGTTTGGTCCACTAAGAAATGAAAATTATTTTCAATTAGATTGTACTGTGTAAGGAATAATGATCATCATAGTGAGAGTTAGGGTGAGCCTGAAAACATCTCAATGGAAATCAAACCCATGACCTCTCWACCAACTTAGCTATGAAGCCAGCCATGTTGGAGATCAGTCAWTTTATTGTGTGAACCCATCCATACTTAGGAAAAATTGATGAAATGATTGTACAAACTAAGATGAATAAATTTGTAAGGAATAATGATTTACTGTTTATTTTCATTTTACATAAAATGTATATTGCTAATCGATGTAATAAAGAACAGTGCCATGTTAATATTACAGCTGATAAAGCGTTTTCTGTGAAACTTTACAAGAATGTATTTTATTTTATATTGTTTGTGTGAAAAACAAGATTATCATATTCAACATGATTGGAATTGCTGTGCTCACTTTTGAGACAACTTTTCAACAATGCTCAARGTAAAAGACAGCTAACATCTTTGCTGGTCTATGAAATATAGTCTCAGTTCATTACCTTCCACAATGAATGACGACAGCAACTAAATCATATAATCTATCTCTATTAACAGCATCATCAGACTGGAAAGAGAAAGTTACAAACAAATTAATATAAATCACACATGTCAAGARAATGTTTCATCATGTTCAATCTCAAACTTTGATGTCAACATAACAGAAAAGTGTGCAAAAGAAAGTAAATAGCAAACATTATTTTGTTCAGTTTTTGACATGCTGAATGTACATGTATTTTTTAGATGACATGTTTKTACATGACTTGTAAACAACAGATACAGGTGCAGTCTTTAGTGCATATCCAGGAAAGAGAGAAGAGCACTCAAAAACKGACAACAAGGAAGTACATTTAACTGTCTTTCCACCTCGTCCCTTTTGAAATGTCAGTGTGCTCTTAGACTGAAAAKAGCCATGGGAAAGCCTCTGTCTGATAAACAAAGTACTCATTTAAATTTTTGTACTACAATTATTTCTGTGTGCATAATATATATAATTATGGACCAGGTAGACTTATTTCCCTTTACCTATTGCCATGACAAGTTGTTAATCTATTTATTGTTGCTTTTTACCATTAATTTGTTTACTCACAGTGTTGAATAATCTCAATTCCAAAGGGAACACAACTCTGTATGACAGCTTTGAATATTTTTGTACAGTTTCATTGTATTTGAATCTTTTGAGGTGAAGAGCTAAAAGCTTTGGCAGTTTTTTCACTCTCATTCTATCATAARAAAATATTAATACTATTAGTTCTTCATATTCTTAGATCACTGACCTGTAATTAAAAGTACAATTATATATTGAAATATTATTGACTACATGAAGTACAGTACATTGTGTCTAGAGGTTCATGTTTACCTTTTTTGGGCTTCCTGCTTTGAGCAGCATGTTTCACAGAAGTATTTGTGCTCTGAGCTTAGAGTTTCAGTCGAGGAGAATCCTCTGTTGACCATTACAAATAAATAAATAATTATATATTCTAATTAATAATAATAGTTGTTGATAATTTGCAAGAATAATATATCATTATAATACTATGAAACAGCTTTGATTGTATTCAAACAATTATTAAGGTCTAAAAAATACTTTGTTTTCATAAAATATCACARTCACAACAAAATTATCTATCAAAACTCTGCTTCTTTTGTACAATKTAGAATTATAATAAAACTGACAAAATTAACAACTCAGTACATGTATGTAAACTGAGAAAAAAAACTTGTGAAGTACATAAAAATAAAACCTAAACACCTTTAGTATTAGAACTCTAATTCAAGTGTTTTATTTTGGACCTAATTTTTGACTAACAAATTGAAATGTTTGGATTTTGTTTCAGAGGTATTATGTCCTGATTATAAGACCTGAGGATATTTTATCAACAGTATTATAARGCTAAGAAACACAACAACCTCTGGTGTTATTGTTTGTCAAGATTTCTTTTTGACTAAACAGTAACACCAGACGCTATTGTGCATGTTTTTTTTTCTTTTTTTGTTTTTTTTAAGTCACTCCTCTGCTTGTTATATTGTGTTGTACCTCAGACAGTGTGATATTGATGTATTCTGTTCAACATCCACAGACAGATCCAGAAATGATTCATCTTTACTGCTCACCTGAAATCAAATAATAACATGGAATTGATGTTGACACCTTATTCATGCAATAATGTTTAGGTTATTTACATTTCTGGCTAGTCTACTGCATCAAAACACAGTAAATCAAATAATAACATGGAATTGATGTTGACACCTTATTCATGCAATAATGTTTAGGTTATTTACATTTCTGGCTAGTCTACTGCATCAAAACACAGTAAATCAAATAATAACATGGAATTGATGTTGACACCTTATTCATGCAATAATGTTTAGGTTATTTACATTTCTGGCTAGTCTACTGCATCAAAACACAGTAAATCAAATAATAATGTAWGCAACTCACAGTCTCACAGCACAGACATCTTGTTTCATTAGTAAGAGTCCCTTCAAACATGTCATGTACCCATGTACGTTCACTCTTTTGATCTGTAGTGTTAGAACTAGTGTTGATTGAAAAGGTGCCATTTGCCATGTTATTGTTCGCAGATCCAATGGAGCCAACAGTACTGTTTGAAGACAGACTGCTCTTGCTGCTTATGCTGCCAGTACTGATGCTTTTTTCTTTTTCCTTTTCTTTGATTTTTTCTCCTAAAAATGTTTCATGAATGGCTCAGTTCTTGTGTTTTATKCGGTCATAGTCTAAACTTACTAGTCCTTTTTCGCACCTGAAAGCCAGTATTCATTTACATGTAATCATGTTGTCTACTTATAAAAATACATGTATGAATGGAAAACTGTACCTCGTAAGAGATCTCCAATAGTATTGAGTAAATAGTTGAGAAATTCATGAGCATCCTGCTGCATGTAGTTATCAAACAACTCTGCAAAAGAAAGTGTGCAGTACTAAGAAGAGATAATAATTATTGAATCACTGCATAATTTTCGTTATCAGCAGAGTCAACTGATCACAGAATCACAGACGTTTGTATAAAGGATTAATAGCACTATCCACCAAATAAATCTAGCAGATAAAATCCAAACAAAAACTATGAATTAGATATTTTTTTTCCAGGATCCATAGGGGAGCAGTTGTCTTGAGGTGGGATAAATTTACAAAGAGATAAAACAATTATCCACTCTCATCTACATTTTGTACAGGATTGATCCCTTTGATAAACATTTATCCAATGAATTGTGCTATTCACCCTAGCTACTGTACAATCAGAACSAGATGTCTAAATACTAACAATGTAATCTGATCAAACATTTGTAAGAGGTTTTTTTGGACAGTGCAGTGTAGCTAGAAAATAGTCTTATATCGACATGTTGAATATTTTAAAATAAGAACATTTTTGCCGCAAATTTTCATGAGATCATTTCAACAGTTCTGAAAACACATGAAGTTCAAAGGTCCATTTGTTCCAAAGAAATCGATATATTTACTTTGTGGTTGTATGTTCGGCAAAAAATAACAAAACAATGCAAACATTTATCTCAAAGTAGGAAATTACTGAATGGGAATCAGATGAACAATACAAGACAAACAGCGATGGAATCAAACAAAAGTTTGACAGTACATCTAAAGACAAGGGCAAATCAAAATTCAGTAAAGCACACTAATTATTCCCAAATGTTTACCGTTTTCTTTTCTCAACCTTGCTACAAATTTCTTGGGTGCAATAACGCCAACTTTTTTCTTCTGTGACGATATATTATTGAACAAATCTGTCAGGCAGGTCAGCAAAGTTTCCTTTCTCTTTGACGCTGGTTTATAAGCGAGCACCTTCTCGCGAAACGGTCGACAGAAGAAAAGTGCTTGTAAAACGGAATTGCAATAACATGTATTGCCAAACTATGGATGAAGAAGTTGACAATGAATCAGTCAAAACGTCAAATCACAAAAGAGATCAAGAAAAAAATATGTTGGAAAGAACACATACATTTACCAACCCAAAGAAGTGTTCGTTTGGAGGGAATTCATGGCCGATATCTTTCTCGAGTTGTGATGCACTGGCCCCCTACAAAGCACAAATACAATAAATTAACATCAAACTGATGGCAACGAGGAAAATAAACTTCAGTCTTACCATTGGACCTCTTTTCCCATCACTTGTTCACGTCGTTTTTGCAATTTCTCTCTGGCAAAACATTTTCCTTCACAAACGCCACCAAAATAATCACTGGTGAGAGCAAGCATCGCTTGTGCGCATGTCAAGTGAAGTGACAACTCGTAAACATCCCGCGCTGTCCCGCGTAAATCCCGCAGAAAAAATGGCGGACAGCGAGGAGAAAATAAAATGTTCTTTCTGCGAGAAAAGACAGCAGTTTATGAAACTTTGCAGTCGCTGTAGAACGCACGTTTACTGGTTAGTGAAATGCAGAAATCGTTTTTTATAATAGTTGCCAATATGAGTTATAAGTTAAGTTAACTGAAAAGCACTGTAAGCTTATATAAGAGTCTTACATGACAAATGCTTTAAGCTTATAAATTATAAGCTATTGAAGTTAATCAAATATAATATTTACATAATTTTATTAGATCAATTTTTGAATGAACGTCTTGCAATCAGATATCAGGAAAAGAATCTGATTATTATAATTATTTTTAGCTCAAGGGAATGCCAAGTCAAGGACTGGCCTGGTCACAAACCAAACTGCACTGTTATAAATCTGAATATTTCCCATCAAGAGAGAGGGAATGTCATCTCCCAAGAGTGCTCTCAAGACATTGACATAAGCAATGAAGTAGAGGAACCTACAAAAACTAACTTAAAATCAAACAATTTAAGTGATCTGAAGTCAAATGGTAGAAAACCACAAAGTGAAGGTGCACTGGAAGAAAACTGTACAATTGCATTTGAAGATATTGATACCACTCAAAGCCAGAACTCCATTGTGATATTTATAAAACACAACAAAGTCAAGAGTCCACTTGAATTGAAAATGCCACAGGATTCTGCCTTCCTTTTTCAGAAAATCTCAGACTTTGTTAGGATCCCCGTGTCAAAGTTAAAACTAGTTTGCAAAGGAAAAATTATTACAATGGAAAATATTTCTTCATCTGTGCATCACAAAGCTGTATTTTTAGCACTGGGTGAAGTTTCTGAATGTGAAGAYGGGCTTGATAAAGGTGATATTGAAACACTCATGCGACAACTCAATATTGAAAGAAATATTGCAGTAAGAGCACTCAAGAAAACTGGTTCATTACTGGATGCAATATTTGACGTTGGTAATAATCTTTGATCAATCACACAGCAAATAGAAATTAAAGAAGAAGTTTGTGACAAAGAAATTTCACAACAAAAAGTAAAAAATGTACAAATACGCTTAARATGTTTAAAAGTGATACCAAACTGACATCACGATAATAGTTCATTTATCATAATCATGTGGCCTAATCATGTCAATTTTGTTCTTTGCTGGATTCTTGAAAATCTCCCTTTGTTTAGTGAATGCCCCCTTTTTCTGAGATAACGCCAAAAAAATTGTACTGAATCTCATAATTTCAAAAATTTTAGTGTTTTTGAGTTTTTCTAAAATTTCAAAATCAATATCAGAAATTTTCATTATTAACAGAAAACATGATACTTTAGAGAAAAATTGCATTGAAAAAAGGGGATGTATTTTGGATGTCATTATTTTTAAAAAATTGTTTTTACATATTTTGTTTTCTTAATATAATAGTTTAGAAAAATCAATCAGAAAAATGATAAGTAGGAAGAAAAAAATAAGAAGAATTGCCTAATGTCAAACATAGAAACGAAAAAAAAAAGAAAAAGAAAAACATAGAAACGAAAAAAAAAAACACGAACAGTAAAATTGTTTTCCAGAAAAATTCCTAAAAAATAGTAATATTAAAAAAAAAAAGAATTGCCTTAACATCCAAACGTGCAAAAAAAAGGAAAACACAAATTTTCCAGACGAATATATAAATAAAAAAAAGAAGAGAAAAAGAAAAAGAGTAGTAACCAAAGATATTACGTAAAAAAAAAAGAAAAAAAAAGAGATGGGTTCAACTGTCTTGACGTGGCTGATCACTGCCGTCTATTCACAGATGCTATCCCACTACTGTCGAACGCGGAAGCTTTTGCCTGCTGTGTTTCCACCCTGGGCCGATACACTTCTCTTTAACTAACCTGGTGAGCCGAGACTCCTCTCAATTCACCATATTGACGCCCGACTTAGTGCGGACACCCGATCGACATAGAACGACAGCGATCAGGAATCCACGTCTCAAGCCATTCACCACCTCTAGCCTCCAAGTAGCTGGATTACAGGCGCACGCCACAGCGCCCAGCTGATGACGTTTGATCGATATTTAGGTACTTATACTAGAAAAGCCTCGCTTTAGATTCAACCAATCACGAAGCCAATCACGGAGCCAACATGTGCCTTCATTGTTCTCTATGCAAATTTAGGAAAACGTTTCACATGTATGRACAACGAATGGAAAACGATTAGTCTATATTTTGAATTCGAAGGTCTTAAGTTTGAACGCTTTTTAAACAATTTTTTGTCAGCGAATCTAAAGGAAACGAAGCACAATGTGGAAATTTGATGGCCAAAGTACTATTCGAATGATTTTTAATCGGTGARCACGTTCGAAAATGATTCTTTTTCACTATTAGAAGGTCTATATMTTATATATAGTTCGCATAGTATGTTTAAATGATGTTTTAACAGTTTTTGTCGTCGAATCAAAAAGAGAAGAAGCCCAATATTTCGATATTTTTTATAAGTTGATTCAACAGAATTTTTCACGCGGTCAAATAGAGCGGAACTAGTAGTGATGTTACGGTAGAAGTATTCTGGCGTGGGAGGGGAGGGTCCTCCATTCATTGAAACAATGAAGTATCGATGACTCAAATAGCTCCTAAAATGAGTTTCTTGTAAAAATAAATTATTTCTTACGGTAAAATTTACTAAATACACGCGAAATAAAACACAGTCTAGCTTAAATAATTTATTTCACTTCTAGAATTCTTTTAATAATACTACTTTTTAGATATAGATGTTTTTAATAATATAGAAAAATACGTTAATAAGAAAGAAATGTAGAACTTCATGTAACTSAGATATTAAGAAAAAACTATACAAGAAGTAAACGAATGCGACCGCTTATCTCGGGATACCTGTGTACTGGTGCACCCATTCTAGCGCACATTTACAAACTATACAAATCCGTCCAAAACCAGGATTACTCTAGTTCTTTCTATAAAACAAACCCTTGCTACAAATAACGTGCTACTCAGATTAGCCAGTTKAAAGAATGTAAAATTACACGCCAATCAAAGGGATCACAGAAATGCAAAAACCTGTCGAAAATTAATCGCAATTACGTCAGTTAGCGGATTACAGTCACTTGGTATTCGCAGCGGCTGACCGAAAATAATAACTTCCCAGCTAAAACCACACTGGGGACTGTTAAATAATTAGATACTTTGAACAGCTAAATTTTAATATGTATACGCTGTGTTTTGTCAAAGCTTACTGTTAGTTTCTATATGAGAAAGTCACAACAAAGTGATGTTTGATTTTGCTTGTCATGACGACAAATCCACCAAGTGACACTTTGATGATCTAAAGTTCGCTACTCCTTCTCTAGTCTATTTATCTAAAAATCAAAAAGCCCAATAGCATTGCCGGAATTGTATTGATTAAGAATTTGATACCGTTTGCTGATTGGCTAATCGGTTTATGCATTAAAGATTTGCAAAGATTTCTTTAGAGTTAAGCCTAAAGTTTGTTGACTTTCAACTTAGCGGGCGACTGTGTTGGTATTTTGGAGATCAGTTCAGAACAATTCACGTATTTCATAGTATCCTTTAAGTTGTGTTGTCTTTTAWGGAATTTTAARTRCGCGTACGAAAAGAAAATGGCCTCAAAARACAAAAACGGTCGAAMAGGATGGTCGAATTTCATAGAAAAATTGCAAAATAACAATTCAAATACAAATACTAMAGCAGATTCGGAAGAGTCAAATGCTGTGTCAAGAGAAAACAACTTCACGACAACTTCTTTAAGACGCAAACTTCCACCATTGGAAATCCCAGCAAAAGCTRGCACTGCAAGCAAAAATYGCTCAAAGTCCMCGGAAGAAGAAACAGTATCCTGCTACGAAAATTCTTGCCCCGAAATTTTTCATTCGGAAARCAAAGATCATGACAACCCAKTGGAGGAAGTACGCAGCTCAACTCCTGAAAGTGACTCGGCRGCATTTCCCAAAGTAGCTCGAACGATACAAATGGCGTCCTCTTGGCTTAAAAAGAGTAGGCAAACAAGCAAGGAACAACAAGTTGATCCGTTTCTTGATCGATTAGAAATGTTYGGGCCTCGTTCGCGGCGGTTTACTCTCGGAACGCTTCAAGACGTCGCTACTCATAAACATTGGATAATAGAACCTTCGGGAAAGTTCCTGTTTTGTTGGCTAGTCGTAGTAGCCATAGCAGTTTTGTACAATTTAATCTTCATCATYGCTAGACAATGTTTCCATGAGCTTCATAATAATTACATGGTAGTTTGGTTCGTGTTTGATTATCTTTGTGACATTGTCTATGGACTGGATATGTTTTGCCAGTTTCGAACAGGTCAGTAGTATCAAATTATTTTGTGAATTGGAAACAATTATTACAACAGTAACAACAACACTTACAGCAGTASSCATAACAACACTTCTGAAGTATGAGCTCTTTATTTGCTCGGCCAACGTTCAAACATGCAATTCAATCAATCAATTATCTATATTCAATTGYTTTTTGTTTTGTTTTGTTTTTCAAATTATGGAGCAAACCACTGAGCTACCTGCATATGCAGCTGCTACATAGCCTAGTCTAGAACGGCCTTGTGATGCACGTATAGAAAAACGCGCATTTGCCCTGCATAGGAATGAATTCCTGAATTAAGAAAGGCTTTACAATCGGCAAATGCCGTGACACATCAAGTTGCGGAGCTTTCTAGACGTGAAAAAAATATTTCACAACGCAGTTCAGCCTGGCAAGATAGTCCAGCAAGGAAATGCATATAAAATTTTGAAAAAAAGTGACTTACTAAATTAAGCCATAATAATTTTTTCGACAGCTTATTTAGAACAAGGACTTCTTGTCAAAGACCCCAAGAAGCTGCAACATCACTACATGAGCAGAAAATTMGACTTCAAGCTGGATGTTATATCACTTTTACCGTATGATCTTTTATATTTTGCTGTTGGCTCGAACCAAACTRTTGTACGGATACCCAGAATCCTTCGTGTTTACAGAGTACTTCAGCTTTTTCAAAAGAGTGAACGAAAGACACGGCATCCAAACCTTCTCCGATCCAGTGTCGTTGTTTTGACTTTCTCTCTTATCTTTCATTGGAACGCTTGTTTTTACTTTGCTATATCAGAGTCGATTGGTTTTGGTAGTGATAAATGGGTATATCCAAACCTCACAACACCTGGGTACAACAAGYTATCACGACAATATCTTTATAGYGTKTACTGGTCTGCAAGAATGATGATAACAGGAGAAAATGAAAATCCACCAGAGACTGACATGGAATTGCTGTTTGTAATTGTCGACCTGACGATGGGTTATTTRATTTTCGCAGCGTTGATTGGWCAATTTGGCGCCATTTTGAGCCAAATGATGCGCGCGCGCGTCGAATTCCTGGACGATTCTGAAACCATCAAACAGTACCTGCAACATAACAATGTCASCCAAGATTTAGAAACTCGAGTTGTTTCTTGGATTGACTACATGTGGCAGACAAAACAGTCATTTGATCAAGAGAAAGTGCTTCGTAAACTCCCAGAGAAACTCCGTGCGCAAATAACAGTCCATGTTCACCTTGAAACTCTACGTCGAGTCGAGGTGTTTTCTGACTGCGAACCAGGATTACTAAAAGACATCGTGGTAAAACTCAAATCCCAAGTCTACTCCCCTGGGGACTACATTTGTCGAAAAGGTGATGTTGGAAAAGAGATGTACATAGTTAAAAGTGGACGTCTTCAGGTGGTTGGCTCTGATGGACTAACCGTATTAGCAACTCTTTCAGAGGGGAGCTACTTCGGAGAGATAAGCATTTTGAATTTATCAGAGATTGGAAATCGTCGCACGGCGGATGTTCGTTCTGTTGGATTCAGTGATTTGCTTTGTTTATCTAAGGATAATTTATTGGTTGTTTTAACAGACTATCCCGAAGCACGAACTATGTTGGAAGAAAGAGGAAGAAATCTTTTGAATTTGCCCTCTTGAGCGTAAAAATTATACTATTCGATGCGAGMGCGCATTCACTAGTGAACCAGKCTGTGAACCGCGACGCTGAAACTTTTATTTTAGAATAAAARCCGTCATTTTGCGGTGATTGATATGATTAAATAATTTGAAAAAAAAAAGAGAAAGATAAAAGATAGAAAAACAATAGATAARTAATTGTTCAAAGTGTGACATGTGCTGAATAAAAATGCCAAATGAAAACAGCTAAATTAAATTTTACTTAACAAGTAAATAATAGTTCATATTTGACTTCCATATTCCTAAAAATAGATAATGGTGAACAAACTTCACTTTAGATCTTAAAACAAGATTTTGCCAAAAAGAACATTGAAAACCTGAGAGTTCTTGAAGTACGCCCAAAGCCGGACCTTACTACCACGATGTCTGAGGTAAAATTGTATGGTTTTATTAAATAAAAAAAGAAATTTTAAGAAGAGTATTTACATAAAACGTGCGAACAATCATTTCTAAAAKGTAAACCTGCTCTCATCGTTCATCCTGTATTAGTTTTCTTGACAGGTATTCAGTTGATAATCTTATACATCTCCTTAAAAGCATCTTAAAAATGATTCTTATCGCTTGAGGGACTCATCTGGACTGAATGATTTACTAGTTTTTACCCAACAAAAACTAGAAATATTTGGATCCACAAAATGTTTGGTGCCATTTTAGCTGTTCCTAATTTTTCATTTTTTATTTATATTTTTTATTATTGAATTTGTTCCTTTTGACTCTGCTCTATTAATTTGACTATTTACACAAAGCTATGATTTTGTTTTCTTTTCTCCAAATCATCAACTAGGTGTTGGACCTAAGCGTATTCATTTGCAAATAACCTGCCTTTTCATTGAGTTAAACTAATAATTTAAAGTGCTGAGCATTTGCCAAGAGCAAATGAAATCCCTCCTTGTGACCACTTTAGATAACATCAGTTTGTTGCTCCTTGATCGGTGAAGAAGACTTATAGGTGAAACAAATTCTTAAGACTAGGTAATACTGACCAAATTCACAATGGAATTTCACAGTTGGTTCGGCCTTAACCTGATMRCATTCTTTTTCATGGTTGCAAACTTGGTAGGAAATTTTCTCGTAATTATCGTTCTTCTCAAAGTCAAAACACTTCGCGGAGTTACGTCATACATGCTTCTCAGCCTGGCAATTGGTGACATTTGCCTGGGAATTTCGATCCTTGGMACTGTGACAAGCTCATTCTATGATCGAATGAACACTCCCAAAGAGTGGATAAGGAAAATGAAGTTTTATGGGAATGCCATAGTATGTGCGTTCACCCTGATCGCKATCGCTGTGGAGAGATATCTAGCAATCATGAAACCATTTTACCACAAGGTTCATGTCACCAAGAAATGGGCCTGGAAAATTGTCGTTGYTGTGTGGTTGCTCTCTGGAGCTTTCACMCTTCCAGGTTTCTTTCTTCTGCCGCCGACAAGAGARAAGCGTCATAGCTTAGAAAATGCGAGCRACGTTCAATATAACACTACCAAGCGSCCTTTAGCGCTGCAAGATCCATTGAAGGACCTTCGTTTTGGTTATGAAATCACCCTRGTTTGTGCTTTTACTGTTTTACCARCCCTAATAATGAGCATTCTCTATGGGCGYATTATACACCGCGTGTGGCTGAAGCCAGATTCACAGGGCACGAATGCAGCCATTGTAAAAGCTCGTCGTAAGATGACAAAACTGTTATTGACAGTAACAATAGCGTTCTACCTTTGCTGGTGGCCTGTTTTGTTTTATATTATCGACGATATTAGTAGTGATATTAAAAACTGGATGGTGCTTTTCCCGTTGCTAAGCACCTGTTTGAATCCAATCATCTACAGTTTCCACTCAGCCTCGTTTCGTAAGGGAATCAGGTCATTGTGTTGCGCATGCGCTTGTTGCGTATCCACACGAGTATGCACTGTGAATATCGTCGAGCGTGAATTTGCAGTGAGGAAAGGAACAGCGACATTTACTTCAAATCAGAACCTCAATATGACTCAACAACGAGTTCTTGAGCAAACACATAAAACGGAATGATGGGATTCTTCAGTTTCCAACAAACAGACACAACGATTGAGCTCAGTTGTCAGTCGTCGCGATTTTCYAGCCAAACTTGRAGTATCGCGAGCTAGAGAGTCTAGTCTAGTTTTGTGAGAAAGCTGAATGAAAATGATAGGATTGTGAATATACTTGCGGTTGTTTTGGTGGCAATAGTAACTTTATTATCCGTGAATTAAGCCAAATCATTAGGGACTGCGCAATATTATTCAGGAAGGGGGGGGGGGGGGGGGGGGGGGGGTGCTGACAATCCAATCTAATTCTATGTGCTTAAAGAGGGGGAGCAAAGTCTAAAACTAACAAGACTTTAATTGGGAACTGAAAACTCAACGGTGTGTGCTTTTTGGTCAATGACTTGTCAAGAAAAGCGTGCCACGATTTGCGACAACTCTTTAGTATAGTATCCGGTTTAACAAGGCAAAAGGGGCATTTTCTTAAAATATCTGAGTCTGCCATTTTTGTTAAATCATAAGTGTGGTCATTTTAGTAATCAACCTAGATAACAAAGAAACTGTCAAAGTAAAAGTAAGTACGCAAAGAAATTTTGCATAGTATCTATAGACAACAGATGCCATGTGTTGCAGATGTGTATTCATATTCTTTAAGCACATGTTTTAAATTTAATTCAGAGACGCCGATGTATAAAGGGTACAGTCTCTTTGATTGCGAGCTGCGTAGAGCTGGAAAATTCTGCGACAGAGTCTTCATTGTTTCATTTTGATATTAACTTGGGTTTTCGATAAGCACAGGCCAGCACCTTCGTACAATCATTTTCGAAACGAATTGGAGGATCGTCCAGTCTTCTTTGCTTGCTTCGACCTTTGACGCTTTCGACGTCTTTCAAAAATTCTGAGAACTTCCCAATGATTATTTAATGACATAAGAGCTAATTTTATGGAAAAGCCAGATAATGCTTTTTAAAAATTTAGGAGGGAAGGGCGGTCTGGTCACATACGGGGCGATCCATTGGAATTCTGAGGGGGGTAGGGGGCTGGAAGATTTAGAAAAGAAAAATTCCTGCAAGGCAAAATTTTGAAAGATCTCCACAAGAGCTTTTGCCGTAAATTTACAAATAAAATACAAGCGCACGCCTGAAGTCCAAAAAAATTCTTGCAAAATTCTAATGGATCGCCCGGCCCCTAACAACTTGAAAGAGCATGTCAACTACTTGAAGCGGAAATTTATGAAAGAACACACCGATTGCTGCACGTACAAAAAAGTTACTCAATCCCTATCTCTAACGGATAAAATGGACATTCAGAGTAACTGATATGTTCACTTAACGTTGACGTCTTCTATGGTTTCTGGATCTATATAGTGATATGCGGTAATCGAAAGTAACAAAMAAGTATGCGGAATCAAAGTGAAACTTGCGTTACTATATCATCAGCATTGCATCACTTGACCCAGGACTTCCTGTGGGGTGTCACAAAAGATAACTAGACAAGTTTTAAAATCTATCACATTATTCTAAGATCTATAGCTTATATCATCATGGAGATCAGTGTAAGATCTATGTTGTACGTTGTCACAGTTCTCGTCTTATCCACTGGTGTTAGTTCAAGGACATTGTGCTCAAGRATCTTCTTTCAGAACATCGATGAGAGTAATATGCCCTACAAGTTTATCGAAGGTGTGTTCATTAAGCAAAACTACAATCACAACAACTTCCCTGTTTACAAGAGAGAGAACGACAATCTRCTGTTTTACCTTAGAAAGCTTACTTCTGGAGACTATTCGCTGTTATTTGGTTTAAAGTTAGACCAATACTTTGGAGTTGGAGCTCGCACTACAACATCTGCCCTGTCGTGGCTTGTGACCGGAACTTTAAACAAGAATGATGTATTTGGTGGTTTGATATCTTACTGGATTTACTACAACAGCCGAGAGGTAACTAATTACAGGGTCCCTGTACCTCCATATATTAAAGCAGTGTGTGTTGATAGTGATTTTAGACARTGTGACTCGGATAAAGTCTACTTGAACAGTACATTCACAGACGGCAAAAACAACGTTATCAACAATCCTAATGTCGACTATTTTAAGCGAGAAACTGGTACTTTTCGTTACCTAAGACCTGTGTATAAACATAGCAGGCAAAACTGGTATCTTCAATATACTTCCGATAATAACTGGCTCGTTACAACTTCTCGTTACCCAGCTTCAAGTCACAACGATCGGGGAGCTTTGATGCGAGTCAAGGATTATGCCCTGAGACCTGAGTATATCAACAGCATTTGGTCAGTTCACTACAACGGCTGGTACACCAAACCGGACCTCAAGGTTAAGTGCCGAGGAATTAGCTCTCAGAATAATCTCTGTTCCCCAAATCCATGTTCAAACGGTGGTACATGTGTTTTTACATCGGGAAATGAAACTGTCTGTTMTTGTCCACCTGGGTTTTACGGGCCGAGATGCACAAATAACAACAAGTGTCCAGAACCTCAAGCACAAAGTACCGAAATTGGCTTTCTTCTACCAGGATATATTCCAGGGTATGTGGCCATGGCATTTTGCCGTACGTCATATCCTTCGCTGAGATATTTGATATGTACTGATAGCACATACTCTAGTCCATATTGGTCAAGACAAGGAAGCGCATGCAAAGAGGCAATTACAACACAGACACCATACTTGACAACACAGTGGTCACCATGGAGCCCAATATGGACACAACCAACACCATCGCCGCTAAATTTTGACGATACGCCAGGTCTAAGCATAGCAATCATAACGTGTGCAGTACTGCTGCAAATATTGCTACCAGTCATATTGTGGTGTTGTGCTATTTGCAAGACATCCTGCAAAGAAGTCGACGAGGGACAAGAAGACCAGCAGCGTCGCGAGGAATTTGAAGGACATTTAGAATCTCGTCTTGAAAACGTACGGCGTGCCCAAAGTCAAGAGGAACTGGATCAAGGCGTGCAGGACTACCGACGCGCGGTGCAGGAATACCAAAGGGACACAGAGGCAACTCAGATGAAGCGTAAAAAAGGATTGTATCGGAACGCTAGTCTCCTTMGACTTTATTCTATGGATTTTTACATATCCTTTTACCTATGGCTAATCTATTTTACTGTATGTGGGGCAACACAATGTACTCAGTACGGATCCATCTGTAGTCAGCTTAACATCATGGCAATAGTAATGCTAATACTCTGTCCATTATTTGTATTTATCGAAAGTATTTTCTCACACGAATTGTCTTACTTGCGCAATATCATGGAGGACGACACCGCTTGGGGGTACATCCAAAAAATGCATGCTGTAGCCCCTGTGATATCGATGACTGTCGAATGCTATCAYTGGGAGACACGTACGCGTGTAGTGTACTACACTGACTCTAACGGAAATTCCCAGTCGCGTACGGAAACGTATCAAGAACGCGTAGTTACGTACGTGGACAATGATGAGTTCAAGTATGGATGTTGGGTTGATGTTTCTAAAAAAGAAATGCCTGCGCTAAGCTACGTCGCACTGACGCGTCTTAAAATCGATCCCCAAATACTATTTGGTGACCAGGAAACGGAAGAAGACTTTGACCGACAAAGGGAAGAGATGTTGGACAGAAATCGTCACAGGGACGTCTTTATGGATTTCTCTTCGAGCCAAAGTATTCCTGGCCTTAAGAAACGAATTTCCGCTTATGTAGATATGGCAGTAAAGCCATGGTGGATTGGTACGGGTTATTTCTGGTTTGCCACTCTGTTGATGCTGACCTGGCCGTATCGCTGGCTCTTCAGAGCTAAAACAGCTAAAAGTTACTACGACTTGACAAAGAAGATGTACAAATCTACAAACCCACCACCTGAAGTTGATATCATGGATCCTATTGCCATCTTACAACAGGCTAGTATCCCTCCAGTGGTCGGTCAGTCAAACGTCAATTCTTCTTTTGCTATGACCGAATTACCCAGTAGTGCAACGCAGGCTGTTCCCCCGCCTTATCCTGGAGCGAACCAGGAAACAGCTTATCCGCCAACCAATCAGGGATTGCCATATCCTCCGGTCATCCAAGGAGCGCCATATCCACCGACTTATCATGGGCCACCATTTTCGCCAGCCAATCAAGTAGCAACACATCAACTGACCAATCAGGGATTGACTTATCCCGCCAATCAAGTGGTGCCTCAGCAAATGCCCAACATTCCGCCACCCGCATACGAATCAGCTGTTGGTTCGACCAGCAAATCAGGAGCAACCTCACCTCATCCAGTTGCATGAGTAACAATAAATCATACTTTTTAAATTGACACCACCATTTTTGAATTGTTCCAACGATAAAAGATGTGCTTTTACTGATGTTGATCTGGTACTTCTATTTACGACTAATGTAAGGAATTTGCTTGCTAGTACCTTTATAGACATCTATACATGCAAGCCGTACATGTTCATTACATACTTTTAGTTATTTCAAACCGGTGATGTTTTTATATTTTGATTATAGTACTGCTCATAAACCTGTGAAATAATTACTAAAGTAACACATACTAGCTCCGACGGGCTTTATGCGTGAAACTTAAATAGTACAGAATAGTAATAACTTATGTTAATTAATTTGCTTCGTAGAGTGAACAGAGTGAACGCATTTAATTCGTGAAATGGTACAAGAATCAAACACAACTAAGAACTATTTAGTTTGTACAGCCGCGGTTTAATTGAGATCACTCTATTGTGTAATCAAAACTATTTAGTACTAATTAGTGTACTCTTACTATTACTATACAGTATTGAACAAATTAGAGTGAAGTCACCAAACCCGTGAACTGAACAAAATTTGACTTTAAAGCGTGGAAGTCAAATGAACACGACGCAATTATAGCTGCGTACCAAGTTGTATTAGTGCAATACGTATTTCACGGTTGTTTTGGCTAGTGTAGGTGCGTCCCTTGATCTATTCTACTTTCCCTTTTATATATTAATATTAGTATTAAACAAAATTATTTCAATATCAAATAGATTCTAATATAAAACTATAATACTCCATTGAAATCTAATTGGAAACTCTCTGGTTATCCTCGCCTTAAGAAAAGAGTAATGCCGACAAGACATCGACAAAAGTGGAAGTAATATATGACAGTCAATATGGGGGGGGGGGGGGTAGATGTTAATTCTTGTCACGCAAAAAAGGCGTAAATCTTTAAAATATTTTTTTAATTCATTTACAAACAACTCAAAGAATCAACTCGTTGCTAAAAGACCTGATTAAAAACATTTTCGACGTCTCTTTCGGTCGCCTCTCACTAACTATTAGTGTACTGCCAGGGGATGGCTGTGGAGGGGGGGGGTTCAGTCTGTACACACGTGTACACATCGGGAACGCTGATTCTCACGATATAGTATAGAAACGACGGTATTTGTTTTTTAAGGGGAGGGGAGGGGAGGGGAGGGGAATTGAATGAGGGTTGGAGAGCATAAAAACTTAACAATACCACTGACATTTTTTCAGGGAACTATTGAGTGTATTAATAATACGCAGTAAGAGTATATTTCATTACAATGAATTTGATGAAAGACATTCGCGATATCCCAGAACTGAAATCTCAAAATTGTGAGGGGAGGGCTGGTCACTTATAGTGATGACTCAAGGTAAACATGACAAACGTGTCCTGTGCATTGTAAAACGAACTCAGATTCAGAGAGCCCAGCTATACAAGGCCATTTTGATATATATAAATGAGAGCCAAAGCGGTGAAAAGAAGCAATAGAGTGACAACTGTGAAAAGCTGCTGCTTCATTGCTTCCTTTAAAGACGAAAAGTTTTTTGCGTTATGATAACATCGGTATTTCATAACCTTTTTTGTAGTTTACAAAAGGTCACCAGAGGACAAGTTGAGGTTTTAAAACTGATTAACCTGAACACATACCTATTTCGCTAGGATTATCAGTTCAATCACTTGTAGATGTTATAATGGGGACCARTATAAGAGCTACATGTATATGGTACGTTATTGCAGTTCTCGTTTTATCCACTCGTGTTARTTCAAGGACATTGTGCCCAAGAATCTTCTTCAAGAACATCGATGAGGGYAAGATGCCCTACAAGTTCATCGAAGGTGCGTTTAAAAAGCTAAGCTACAAAATTAACAACTTCCCTGTATACAGAAGAGAGGACGGCAAGCTATATTTTTACCTCAAAGAGAAGTATCCTACCGGTTATTGGCTRTTATTTGGTACAAATGTAGCGTCAACTAAGTTCGGAGTTGGAGCTCGCATGAAGAACGGGTTGAAGACTTTTGCCCAGTCGTGGCTTGTGACGGGAATTTTGGACAGAAACGATGTATTTGGTGGCTTGATAWCACAATGGACTTACTACAACCAAAGAGATTCTAAAGATTACAACGTCTCTAACACACCATATATTAAAGCAGTTTGCGTTGATAGTGATTTTAGACAATGTAACTCGGATAAAGTCTACTTGAACAGTAAATTCACGGATGGTTTCACAAATGATCCTAAAGTTGACTTTTTCGAGCGAGAAACKGGTACCTTTCACAATCTAAGGCCTGTGTTTAAGCATAGCACGAAAAAACKTGATAAAGACATTTATCTTCAATATAATTCGGATAACTACTGGATTGTCACAACGTCGCGTGACCCCTCAGATCACAATGATGGAGAAGTTTTGATGCGAGTGAAGGATTATGCACTGAGACCTGAGTATATCATGAACATTTGGTCAATAAAAGACTCTAAAGGCTGGTCTACCAAACCAGACCTTAAGGTTAGGTGCCGAGGTGTAGGTTCATCGCAAGATATATGCTCCGTTTCGAACCCATGCGCGACTTATAATGCTTTTGAATGTGTATATGATTCAGCAAAGGAAAGTATTTGTATTTGCAGACCMGACTTCTACGGTCCACAATGCAAAAAGAGCAAGAAGTGTCCAACACCACAAGCTGACAGTAGCGAAATTGGCTTTAAATTAGCTGGAAACCTCCCAGGGAATTTAGCAATGACATTTTGCCGTAGTTCCTATCCTCCGGCAGTGAGATATGTGGTATGTAGTGAAGCAGGGCATTGGTCCAGACGAGGTACTGAGTGCAGGAGATCCTCAACGAAAACGACACCAAAACCCTCACTAGATTTCGATGATATGCCGGATCTAAGTATCGGTATMCTGGTGAGTGCAGTWCTGTTGCAATCTTTGCTACCRTTWGTGTTGTGGTGTTGTGCTATGTGCACGACAATTTGCACAGAAGATGACGACGAATGGGAGGACCAGGAAACGGAGTCGACTCAGACGACGAAGCGTAAAAATGGGTGGTACCGTAACTCTAGTCTCCTTAGACTTTATTCTATGGATTTTTACATATCGTTTTACCTWTGGCTAATCTAYTTTACTGTWTGTGGGKCAACACAATGTACTCAGTACGGATCCATCTGTAGTCAGCTTAATATCATGGCAATAGTAATGCTGATAATTTGTCCATTGTTTGTACTCGTKGAAAGCTTTTTCTCGCACGAATTGTCTTACTTGAATAACATCATGCAGGACGATACCGCTTGGGGGTACATCCAAAATATGCATGCTGTAGCCCCTGTGATATCAATGACTGTCGAGTGTTACCACATGGAGACACGTACACGTCRAGTGCACTACACTGACGCCAACGGCAACTCCCAAACACGAACGGAAACGTATGAAGAACGCGTAGTTACSCATGTGGACAACGATGTGTTTAAGTATGGTTGTTGGGTTGACGTGTCTAAGAGAGAAATGCCTGCCCTCAGCAGCGWAGCCCTTACACGACTCAAGATTGATCCTSTCATAMTATTTGGTGACCAGGAAACTGAAGAAGACTTTGACCGACAGAAGGAAKATATGTTATGTAGAAATCGTCACAGAGACTTGAACATGGATTTCTCATCCAGTCAATTTATTCCCGGTCTAGCGAAACGAATCTCTGCTTATGTCGACTTGTCAATGAAGACGTGSTGGATTRGTACGGGGTGCTTCTGGYTTGCYACMCTGTTAATGCTGACCTGGCCGTATCGMTGGCTCTTCAGAGCAAAGACAGCCAAAAACCACTACGATTTGAAAAAGAAAATGTACAAGTCTACGAGTCCACCACCTGATGTTGGTATCATGAATCCTGTTTCMACTCTAGAAGTCGATCCGTCCAACGTCAATCCTTCMTTTGTMATGACCAACTTATCCACTAGTGCAMGACAGACTGACCCGCCGCACTACACCGGAACAGCTTACCCTCCTAACATTGRATCACAAACATACCCTACAGCCAATCATGAGCCATCATATCCTCCTGTCAATCAAGGAGCACCATATCCAGTAAATCAAGCAATGGCATTCTCACCTGCCAATCAGGGTTCATCTCACCCTCCAACCAATCAAGAAGCGCCATATCCACCAGACAATCAACAAATGCCTGACATTCCTCCACCAGAATACGAATCAACGTTAACATCTATGTAATATGTCTCAGGCTGCTAATTTATGTTAGCGTTAGTGTTGAAAAGATATCTTTCTGCGTTCCATTCTGTTAATCTTGAGAAGTTATCCTTCAGCACCATATTAGTAGGAGAGTAATAATATACCAATTCGGCCAGATACTGCCTGCTAGATGGTGATGCTGAAGAACAGAGAAAGCTCGACTTCATACAAAGTGCATTTACCATCTGACAGCAGTATCTGGCCATATTTACTTTTATTATTACGTTCCATTCTATGTTAGAAAAACACGGGAATTTTGGTAGAGCACGAGAAAGGTTTTTTTTAGGTAAGCGCTGAAAGCAAGTATGGAAACAAAGAAAATATCTTCTAATGCTTGTTAATAATAACTGTTCACTTGAAAGTGTTGTTTCTATGTTCTCAAAGATGTTCGGTTTTTTGTTGTTGTTGTTGTTTGTTTTTACATTTCATTCAGTCAATGTGTCCGCTCTATATTAGTTATTTTATCAATAGAAAATAGTGTTCGGTGTAAATCGTCATTCAGTCAATGTGTCCGCTCTATATTAGTTATTTTATCAATAGAAAATAGTGTTCGGTGTAAATCGGCTAATCACAATTATTATAGCTTAGATTCGCACTAAAATACAACAATTTAGGGAAGATATTTAGTTTAAATAACTTAAAAGAAAGTATTTAGTAATTAATTACATGTCTTAAACATGATTAAACCTA